GAACTGATGAAGAGGGGCACTAAGAATAAGTTTTCTGGAGACTGTGGGCGTTTACAAGGTTCTTAGCGTGCTTTTTGCTTATATGGACATGGTTTCATAGTTTTGATTGTGCAGTCTATATCGGAGGGCAAAGAGGGGCGTCTCGCCGGCTATATATTCCCGTGCTGACTCACATCATCTTATGCCTACGTTCCGTGTCTCCCTTGTTTGGGCTCTCGCGGCCATCATCACGTTGGCATCAAAACGCTTTGTTCTCTCATATAAGCAATGCACGGCAGTTCGGCGGAGGAGTGGGAGGCATGTTATACTTACACTACTTTCCATAGTCATGTCTTTCATCGTCTTTCAAGCGGTTCCAAGAGTTTGCTCTTTCTTTCACCAGCTTTTCTACAGCTTTCCAGGAGTTCACACCAGTGGAGCTACGTAAGTGCAAGATGCCCCCGGCGCCTGAGGCAGCGTTCAGACTTCGCGATAACGCATTGTAACGCGCGACGACGCCCTGCAGTTACAAGAGCGCTACAAAGCTGCAGACGCGAACGCAGCCGCAGACGGCAGTGCCGATCGATAACAGTCTGCATAACTAGACAACACTTACCATTCTGTACTCTCGAAACACAAGCGGCCGGCGCACGCATCGATCGAGCGTTCTCAGGGAATCGACTGGCGGCGGCCGTTCGCAGATGCTTTCCCGTCTACAGCTTTGGAGCGCTGCTGTAAATGGAGCGCGTCGTCATGCTTCACAGCGCGTCGACGCGAAGTCTGAACGCTGCCTAACTGCGCCGACTTTCGCAAATGTTGAGTTTCGTGCTTGCGGATGGGTTCTTTCTCCTCGGTTTTTTTTTCAATGAACAGGTTGTTTTTAACGTATAATATCCTTCCAGCAGGGATTAAACCGAGTTCGAACGAACGCCGGAAAATCAATGATCGATCATTGAGTGTTCTTTGCTTGGGAAATTTTGTATAATACGCTATGTGTACTTACGCATATTTTTCTCTAAAAATCTGTCCGTGCACTTGTCCGTCGTAGAAGTTTACTAGTCACTTGATCTATATGTTGGTTCCTGTTTTGAACGTTTTACTGCTAACGTTTTTAATCGATGTCATCAAGCATGCTATCTATCTTAATGCATCTGTTCTGCACTAGAAGTAATGGGTGGTGGCTGGAGCTTCGTTTTTTTTTACTAAAGGAATGTTATGGGAAGGGAAGTTTTCTTGGAAAATCTGTCTATGCTTAACGCTCATTCCTCTGATTCCTACTCATGCACGTGCTTTAATATCGCACTTACCTAGAATAATCGTTTCTCGGGAAGAAAAAACTGCGCATGTTCCCAGCTAGAACTATGACTTTTCCCAACGTTGCTGAGGGAACTTAAACACAAAATGCACACTGTGAAAGGAGGCTGGGCTTGTAAGGGATTAACAGGCCCCCAGCTGTCGTACGTAGTGGTTTCTCGGCCCAGAAATGCGCGATGATGGAGCTCCAGAGCCGTGGGTTAGGCTAATTCCTCCATACTCCACCCTAAATGCAATTTACGCTGCAGACACGCTGAATGCCGCTACCATATTCCAGCATCTCCTCCAACGGGCGTCCACTCAATGGGTGTCGCGCGCGGCGCTTTTGGCATTTGCCAAGCCTCGTAGTTTGCGCTTTCGAATAAAATCGGGCGACTAAAACCCGAGCTTCTGATGCGGATGGAGACGCGTGCGGGCGCCGGTTGAAGCGAAGAGGCCGGGACAAGGTAGCGGCGTGCAGCGTGTCTGCGGCGTAAATTACTTCCAGGGTGGAGTATGGAGTAGTCAGGCTATCGACACAGCTTGACTACACGCCAGGTGTTATGTTGTGCCGGAGAAACAGTACGCTTGAGCAGCAAGGGGGTCTGTTACCCCTCGCCAAGGTACACCTCGCAGATGACGTTGTTGGTTTCCGAGGTCTATTATTCTCTGTCTTTCAGCGATATTTGTCTTGTTCGTGCGAGCGTGCTGAGCCCTAAAGGATATGTACTCTTTTTGCTGATTAGTTCCGAGTAAAAAGATGGCTCCATCATTCCGTTTGGTCGAGGCGAACTTTCTTGCGCTTATTGACTTCGCACAATATCAAAAGGAAGGGGGAAACGTGGTAAAGCGTCGTAAAGCTTCTGAAATTCGAAGCGGTTGCAACTTAGGTTGTGTGGGCCTGAACGAGAGCCCCTCCAACTGCCATCACCAAATGTTGCAAGCCTTTTTCTCAAAATTTTCGCTACAGTTCAAGCTAAATTTTCTATGGAAATGCGTCCGGTGTTCTGTTCTCACAACTTCCTAAAGATTCAACTGGTTCGTTCTCGTCGCAATGTCTATGCGTGTGTGTCTACATGAGTGTATGAGTAACCTTAGACGATGTGACTAAGCCTTGCGTTACGTAATTTTAAAGTGAATATTTCAGCAATTAAAGTGACAGATGATGCGTCGTCCATTAAATCTGCCTTATGGCAGAATTATCCAGCGTTTCCGTTCCATTCTCTTTCGTTTCTGTATTCATACGATTGTATTTCTTTTCGATTAGAACTGTGCTTCTGTCTGATTGACTGGTGAATTCTCTAATTTCTTGGCGCTGGTTCATTTCCATAACAAGTAACATACTACTCAAAAGGAGAACTGCGATAGTGAAGCTCCGGCTACCACATAAAGCAAGTTTCATCGGGATATGATTTTTGTATGGGGCGTCTATGTGTATTGTAGACGCGCTGTGTAAATCTTGTGCTTGACATCTTTCCACTATAGCTTTTCTGCTAGTTGTCACCGTTTTACGTTGAAATGTTTGTGTATATTCCATATTCAAAAGTCTTATTCTCTATT